GAGGAGACCTTATTGAGATATTTGTAAACCAGAGAAAATGCAGATAGACAAGCCAGCTTAAGGGTTAACTACACTTTGTAACATCTGTCCGGATATTAGCAATTGTGGGGACAATTAAGCCTTTTGTTTAATAATAATAATAATAATAATAATAATAATAATAATAATAATAATAATAATAATAATAATAATAATAATAATAATAATAATAAAAAAAAAAGATCCCACTGAAGAGACGGTCCGGTCAGATCCTTCGCTGGGTGGACCGGAGGAGCTGGCCGGCTTTAAGGACCTGGCTGCTGAGTCATCAGCCCCGTGGGGCGCTCCAGGGATCGTGCACGCGCGTGGGTCTTCCTAGGAGGGGCAGCGGAGCTTCCACGGAGAGCAGGTGGGGGGGAGTGGCAGCGGAGCCCCGCTGGGAAATCGCCCGGGCACCGCACCTGGCCGCTGTCCAGGGTGCTGATCGGCTGGCTGCCCCGGACTGCTTCGCCCACGCTGCTGCTGCTGCTCCTGCTGCCTCCGAGCCAGTGGAGACGAACCAGGGTGCCTTGCAGCCCTCTAACCCCGGAGCCGCCTTTCCACTTGGACCTGTCAGCCCGCTGAAGACATTCCAGTAAGAGGAGGAGGAGGGGGGGCAGAGGAGGAGGAGGAAGAGAGGAAGAAGAGGAGGAGGAAAGGAGGAGAGAAGAGCAGAGGAGGAGGAGGGCAGAGGAAGGGAGGAAGAAGGGAGAGGAGAAGGGCAGAGGAGGAGGAAGAGGAGGAGGAGGAAGGGAGGAGGAGGAGGAGGAAGGGGGGAGGAGGGGGGAGGAGGAGGAGACCTGTAACTCCAGATTGTGTTTGGGAGGGTGTGTGAAGAGTTGCCCTTTTGTCACTGGCTACTGAGGCAGGAATGATGCGGTGAGTGGGGGGGCGGCTGGTGGTGCTTGGCAAAGGGTCTCCCAGAAGACAGAACAAAAGAGAGTGGGATTTTCCCACTGTTGGTTCCTTCCCCGCCCCTTCTTTGCCCCTCCTCATTCTGCTTCCTAAGCCGAGCACAGGCAGGGCACCCATCTGTTGGGCACGGAGGGGGTGGGGGGTGTGTGTGGGTCAGCTCAGCTTTGACCCGCCTGGGAACAACGGATGAGATTCAGCAGAAAATGCAGCTCCCTCTTTCCTTCTCCCTCCCCCCCCCACCTCGGATTTTTGCATTCCAGGCTTAAGCTCCCCCTCCTGTGTGCTTTTTTGCCACACCATGCAAATAACACAGCTGGAATAAAATGGAGAAGTGTGTGTGTGTGTATGGGGGGGGCGCTAATGCTTTTTATGAGTCCTAGCTGCTTTGAGATTCATTCAAAGACGTTATTTTAAACATGGAAGCAGCTCTGGCTTCTCAGGGTGGGGCTGTGCAAAGTTTGGCTCCCTGAGATCCGACGAAGCGAAGGGGGTGCATAAGATGCATATTCCTTGATAGACCCTCATCTCTCTCCCCCTTCCCACCCAGGGGATACCAACTCCCCCCCCCTGCTGCCTCCCTGCTCAGCCTGGGCTGTGCCTCTGAGTAAGCGTTTACTCCCCGCCTATCAGGGAAGCCGGGCTGCACTAGAGCCGCCCCCTCGCCCCCCTCCGCCACCCCCCATATTGCCAGGTCTCCATGAGGGAGATGTGCCTTAACCTTATGGGCCACCTCTGCTTACGGCCCCATCACAGCGAGGTCTCCATCACCTGGCAAGGTCAGAAGGAGCCGCTAAGCTGGGAGGGGGGGGGCTGGGCTGGTGGGTCAGAGGCTACGAAAGCTTTCCGAAAGGGACAAAAAGCAGGTGGGGAGGGAGAAGGCCCCACCCTGGGCTGCAAAGAAGGAATCCTTCACGGTTTGTGTAGCTCTTGTCCCTGGATGCCCTTTCCCTTTAAGATGAGGTTGCTTTAAAAGCCACCCTTGAAATCCTAAAGCTCAGGATCAGTGCCCAGAGATCAGGCTTTCCTGGAGAAGGAAGGAGTGCAAAGCCGGGTCAATCTGGAATTAGTTAGCTCCAAGAGCCGGAAGAGATATTGCTCTCACTCTCTCTCTCTCTCCCTGGCTGTAATTGTCAAAATGTTTCTGGACATCCTGAAAAGGAAGGAGGCAATTTTCATCTCGCTGGCCTTCCATTTTGCTGGAGCCTGAACGGTAGATATGTGTGTGTGTGTGTGCTCGTGCGCTTGTACATGGGACAAAAGCATGCCTTTGGGAAGCCAACAAGTACGACCCAGGCGATGGGCAGAATCGAAAAACAGACACACAAACCCTCCTTCCGCCCAGCGACTGGGAAAAAAAAGGGAGAAATGCTGTGTTAGGTTAGGGTAATGCAAGGGAGGGTGCTTACGCTATTTTTAATTTATTTCAGAATGTTTGTGGTTGGAGCTTGGAGTTGGGTATTTGGAGAAGCGGCAGTGGCGCCGTAGATTTTCATGGCTGTCGGTCTTTCCCAAAGAATGTGATTTTTGCTCTTTTTGGGGCGGGGTGATATTTTTTTTCCACCACCAGTGTTAACTCCAGCAGTTTCTGAAAGTTAAAATAAATCAGGCTCGCGAAGTGAGTTTTACCGGGAAGAAAACCGTCTCTGTAAATGTAATTTCACGGGTTTTGTTTTCCATTTTCCATTTCCTGGCATACCGGAGGCCATTTGCTGGTGGCCCCTTGAGAAATATCAAGGGAAGGATCGGTTCTCTAGTGCTGCTGTTTTCAAGAGATTAATGGATACAACAAACTAGCAAAATGATTGCATAGACCCACATACAAATGGAACTTGATATTATTTCTGAAAACTAAGGACACTTCTGATCTTCCAAATTTCTTTCTTTTTTTTAAACTACAGTGAGGTTCTTTGGGGGATTCGAAGCAGTATCTTCAATAGTTTTTGAAAGTTTTTTTTCCCCCAGTTTACACCGCTATGAAATACTGATGGCTTTGGAAGCGTCTGTCATATATTTAGGAGTGTTGAGGTGTATCTGGACCAGTCAAATACATGGGTGTCTTTCATCCTTCTGTATCTTCCCTTTGCTTCTGGTGCCTGGCTGCCTTTTTCCTTAGCAAATGTTAATGGCTGCGTGAAACTGGTGGGAGTTGAGGCCTAATGAATGTAAGTAAAAATGTAAAAAGATAAAGGCAATAATTGAACATAATATTGGGAGGCGATGTTCTTTTTGTTTATATCACTTGCTGTGAGCGAACGATGGGGTGCTACGGCTATCTTGCTTCTGTTAATATTAAGCAAAGCTGTGAAGTTACCCTAGGCTCCATATGCCTGTGCATTTATTAGTATTTATTAATAATGAACATACATATTGATGATTTTATAATTAGTTCCTGAATGAGCCCCAGATGACTGTATGGAGAGGAATGCGATATTCTTTAATTAGGTTTTCCCTCTGCTTGCTACGTTCCTCCCTGCAGACTAAGTTGTGTTCCTGAGAGAACACGAAGATTTCTGTTAAAGAGGCTGAGAAACTCACTCTGAGGTTTGCAGAGTTGTGTTCCTGCTCCTCTTTCGCCTTTGTCCCACTGTTCTCTTAAAACCAAAGAGCTGGAAAGTTAAAACTCAGAGGTGAACCAGTTGGGGTCTTGTGAAGCTCTTGAAGTTCGTTTTCCTTCTTGCGGACGTTTCATTACCAGGCTAGGTAACATCACCAGTGCACTGGGGAGTAAAGGCCACTAGCTGTTTATATATGACTGCTTGTCTCTTGGACTGTGATCACTACTACCCCAAAGGGAGCATCAGGCTGAAGAAAAGTACCAGATTTTTTTTTTAAATCAGTCTTGTCCAAAGTACAATATTTTCTTAAAAATCAATGAACCTTTGGTAGTTTTCCTCTGCCTTGTTTCCATTTTCTCCATCACAACCAAGTTGTGTGCATCTTGAAAAGCAAGCAGGGCCCAAACGGGACCCCTCTGTACAGATAGTCCTCCATTTACAACAGTGCATTTAGTGACTGTTTGAAGTTTCAACAGCACTGAGAAAAGGGACTTACGGCCGTTTGTGACACTTACAACCAGGGTAACATCCTCATGATCAACGTGATCAAAACTCGGACGCTTGGCAACTGACTCAAATTTATGACGGTTTGTGCAGTGTCCCGGGGTCACGTGATTCCCCTTTTGCCACCTTCTGACAAGCCAAATTCACTTAACAACCATGTTACTAACTGAATCAACTGCAGTGATTCCCTTAAGAACCGTGTCAAGCAAAACTCACTTAACAAATGTCTCCCTTAGCAACGGAAAACTTGGGCTCAGTTGCGGTCGTAAGCCGAGGATTCTCTATAATACCCTTCCTTTTTACTTTCTCTCAAGGTAAAATCAAGACTCGATTGAGGCACTCTAGCATTCCTCCTAAAACAGGAAAGAGCAGATGAAAAAGGCGTATTTAAAGTCCAAGGGTGCAGATTCTGCCCAGTTAATACCTTCTTTTTTCTTTGAGATTACCTGGGCTCTCCTTTTCAAGCCCTTTGACAGCTTTTAAAATCTGGGAAATACTGTTGCAGTGCGCAGAGGCGAGGAAGGGTTAAAGCTTTGATGCAGACTTTCCTGCAAATAACCTCCAGAAGGATTTAAAGAGACAGGAGCCTGTTCAGATCACCTTTCCAGGTAATGCTCTCATCCTGGGCTCCCGGTGGCTTTCCCTACCGAAGCAGCAGCATTAAAGCCACCACAGGGGTAGGCGGTCTCCGTGCCGGTCTTCCTGCCTTGTCTGGGGAGAGCCTGCCGGCCTCCGCCAGCACGGAGGGAGTTAAGTGTTGCCTTGTTCACACCGAAGTGGGGGTTGCCGGGAGATCCATGGGGCTCAGCCTTTGGAGAGCTCAGCCTAGGGCCAGAATCTGTAATGGGGAAGAAGAACGTGCCCGAAGCATCAGCAGCAGCAGCCCTCTTTGCTGCTAAATAAGGATGTTTCCTCCACATTCCTGGTCTCTGGCTTGCTTTGATTTTCCAAGAGACTCACAGCCATGTCCCTAGCTCCAGCTTCTGCCAGAGCCCTCCCGCAGCCGGCATGAAGAATAGGAGCTGTTGGGAGACGGGATCCGTCCGCTCCTGCTGCAACTCTGGGTGCCTGAATAAAATTAAGAAGGGTTAGTTGGGCCTTTGTGGATCCTCCCCACAGACGCCTTCGTTTCTCCGGGGTCCCGTTCCCCTTCCGGCTGGTGCTCGGTGGTAGTTCTTGCTGCATGATCAGTTCAGCCCAACGGAGGAGGTGACGCTGGAAAGGCCCTGGGTTGGTTTGCTTTTAAAAACATGCACACACATGAGAATGGAGGAGCGAGCCTGTTTGGGAAAGAGGGGACATCGCTGCTGGCTCCTTCAGCTGGGGAGAGCAGTAAAAGGTGCTGAGCCCAACGGGGAGTAAAAGTCAAAGCAAAATATTAACGGCAGGAAGGTGTCCCATCCTATATAATGGGATGCACCCAATTCTGTGAGTGCATCTCTGCGGCCATCCAGAGTGAACTCGGTGCTCAAGTCTTTCCAAGGGGACTTTTAGCGTGCATTTGGCTAAATGAGGTCTGTGGAACTGTGTACATGTTTCTTTTTAACAACAACAAAAAAAACCTGGAAATTACCTGGTTCTAATTTTTTCCAGGGAGGGGAAGAATCAGGGGTAGTCAGCCCATTGTTCCTTAACACAGGGATGTGGCTTTTGTGATATGCAAATAAGGCACACAGCCCCTTCGCCTACACTGCATTGTTGTCCCTGTTTGTAGACTTCAAAAGGCCCGGCCCACAATCACAGATCTTGAATATTTATTGTCTCTTGTAAAATTCAGCATGGCCTGGATTTTGAAAAGCAGAGGAGAATCTTAAGTAGGTCAGCCACAAAGAGAATAAATCCTTAAAACATCAAAAAGTGTTTTCGGGATGGTGACAAAATACGGCTTTTGAAGGGTGCTCTCTGAATATTTCCTGGTTTCCCAGGAAATTAGAAGGAGCAGAAGAGCTTTGCTTACTACTGCCAGGGATGTTATGAATGCTGAAAGGGAAGTGTTTTGTCACACGCCCCAGATTTGCAAGGTGTACATGATTCCTGTAGTTTTCCTGTATTGGTTCTGCTGAATCCCAGAGTTACATGATGAGTTGTGTTGGCCATTGAAATGATGCATGTTGTAGGTCTTGTCAACATTTGCTCTGGCTTTTGAAATTTCAAGCAGGCATTGTACTCACACCATCCGGTGCATCTTCCTAGCTATAAGAAGTGGACAGTGTTTGGGGAAATAAGTATAGGTAGTCCTTAACTGAGTTTCCATCAGATAGAAAGTTGCATCTTATAAATCGGAAGTTGTTATGTTTATCTTAAAAAAAAACCCTCTTTGCTGTGTGAAACTATAGAAACAATCGCAAGGGATCCTGCTGTTGCACATTGTTGTGGTTTCCCCATTTTTTTGCACCTGTGGTGGTTGCGTTGGAGCCCAATTGCTGTTTTTAAATCTTTGTCAAAGTTCTGGCTGATGATCCCAACGAAGTAAGCACACCTGAGACATTGCGATCTCTAATGCAAAACTTTATTGAGCACAGCATACCGGCACTAATGAATGGAAAACCAGCTGCGGCAGTAGGGCGCCAGAAAGATAGTTAAGTCACATTGTCCAATTAATCTTCTGCCATTGTTATAAGTCATAATATCTCTCCTGCAACCATGCTTCCCAGCGGATAGAAACCATACATTCCCCTCCCCCCTCGGAACTGTTGGCCAGCTAGAAGCAGCATGGCTGTCCTAGCGCAAGGAATCTCCGCAGCTTGACAATCTTTTTGTTATATATTGTGCGTAACTTGTATTCTATAATTACAATGTCATCTTGCATGTCAGTCAATATATTGGGGAAGTTACAGCGATTTGAGGGGTTAATGGAAGAAATGACTCAGAATCATGTTTACCACACTGTATGTGTTAAAAATCAAGCTGTTAAACCCTGGCCCTGTTGTGTTACATGTTTGACCCAGTTTTTAACGCTTGCTCCCCCCTCTCCCTTCCCCAGTGAAGCATGCAAGGGGCGAAAACGCTTAATGTTTTTTAGTTGACGCTTGTGTAGTTCCGTTAATGTGGGTTGAACTTTATAGTTGCAAGCTCACAATTAAAGCTTCTGCATGGGGAATTGGAACCAACGTGGAAGCTGAAGTAAACGGGGAAATTGGGGTCCCTTTGGGTTGCAACAGTACAGACTGAGGATGAAATGCTCAGTAAGGGATTTCTTTCTTCACCTTTTTAATTTCATTGTTCACCAGATAATTGCTGTAGAAATTGCCAGGAGCGCAGTTCTTACCAATAAATCTAGAAGGGGAATAAGAGAAGGATGATGGTTTACTTTTACAGGGCGGTTGAGTTGTGGCATCTTGGATGTGATGAATCTGGGTGCTAGAACATTTGCAGGGTGAGTGTGCAACTCCCAGCAGGATCTTGGATGTCCCTCCTTTTTTGGGAATTGAAGGAAAGCATAGCATCAAGCAAAATCTGTATGTCTGGCAAAGTCTCTGGTATCTGCAGGTAGAGCAGATCCCCACAGGGACTCTTAGAAGATAAAGGGAGAGGGAGGGCTTCGTCCGTCTTCTGAGATGGGAGTGCTTGCCTCTGTTCAAAATAGCACCCCTTCTCTGACTGTCCCATAACCCGCTAAAAGAATTTGCCTTCTTTCAGAGAGTCGTTGAGGCCACTTGGAGGTGACCTAGAGGACACCTCAGCGTGGCCTCAGCGACTCTCTGAAAGAAGGCAAATGACCAGCTGTCTGAAAGGAGTATAAATCCTTCCTTTCCCCACTCGTCCACTTACCCCCAGCCATGAACTGGGATAGCTATTGAAGCTTCCGGTATAAAGTCCTCGGACGACAGAGAAATGGGTTGGGAGTTGAGCCTTATTAATATTAAAGCTAGCCTTTGTTGGCCCCCAGGAAGAAGGGTATAGTCTGGCTTTGTTCCCTGCCCTTTCTGCAGGACAGTGAAACCTTGCAAAGACCTGAGAATGGAAAATGTGTTTAAGTAATGATTAAAAATTTATCTTGAGTGACATGCTTAGAAAAGCCAAGGGGGAACACGAGACGTGGGTGTCCTCCCACTTGGAAATCCAATCCGCCGAGGAACAGCAAGCAGGCCAATTCACCCTGGCCGGAGGAAGCAATGTCCGCCAGCCAGAATCGTGGACTTCTGTTGATTCCTCCTCACCTTCTCTCTCGTTTTGTGGAAGAGAAATGGGCATTTTGGGAAGGCCACGCCAAGCTTCTCTCTCTGGAGTTGCTTAGAGGCAGTAGAACAAATTAAATCACCTTGCTCCAATGTGATGCTCCTAGAATTCCCACGGCACCGGGTTAGGGAAGGTTATTCAGCCATGGGCATTTTGGCTTGGTTGGTTGAGTAGAGTAGAGTAGAGTAGAGTAGAGTAGAATAGAATAGAATAGAATAGAATAGAATAGAATAGAATAGAATAGAATAGAATAGAATAGAATAGCAGAGTTGGAAGGGACCTTGGAAGTCATCTAGTCCAACCCCCTGCTCAGGCAGGAAACCCTATACCATTTCAGACAAATGGCTGTCCAGTCTCTTCTTAAAAACCTCCAATGATGGAGCATTCACAACTTCTAGAGGCAAGCAGTTCCTTAGATTAATTGTTCTCACTATCAGAAAATTTCTCCCTAGTTCCAGCTTGCTTCTCTCCTTGAGTAGTTTCCATCCGTTGCTTCTTGTCCTGCCTTCTGGTGCTTTGGAGAATAGCTTGACTCCCTCTTCTTTGTGGCAGCTTTGTGCCAAATTTAAATTTAGGAAGTATGCTTCTCTTACTGGTGCTTTTCTTTTTTTTTTTTCAATTAAGCTCCAGGATTTCTTGAAGCCAGGACTCCTCTTTTCCTGAATGAACTTCACTCTGTTTGGGCTAATCGCCTTCCCTATTCAGAGACACATGCTCTGTATTACTGTATGATAATTATAGAGCACAGCAACAGCGGCTGAAATGGATTTGGCGAGAGTGCAATTTAAGCACAGTATCTATTACAAGGGGAACACCCTCTTTCCTATTTTCCAAGATTCATTTGGTGAGCTTAGTCTGCAAGAAGACTGGCAGAGCATGTCAGGAAGGTGGAGCCAAAGAGATTTTAAAAAGCTACGGTGGTCAAATTGTTGTTGTTGTTTTTTTCAGGATGGTTCTGTTGTGCATTTTTAATCTCTACTTTTGAAATCAGAGAGTGGTGGATTAAATTTCAGTACGTTTGGATTTGAATGGAGCCCACCAAATGGTATGGGATTGGTCTAGATTAGAATATACAAAATATACGTTTGGTTATTGGGCTGAATTAATGAAGTTCCATCCACTGATGCAGCAGGAGTTTTGCCCCATTTTACGGAAGGAAGGAAGGAAGGAAGGAAGGAAGGAAGGAAGGAAGGAAGGAAGGAAGGAAGGATGGAAGGATGGATGGATGGATGGATGGATGGATGGATGGATTCTGGTGCCATTTCAATGAAGGATTCCCAGCAAAGTCCTTTGCCTCTTTAGTGCAGAGGTATCCATCATTTTTCTGAAGCTTTTTATGCTGCAAAAAAAAAAGCTGAATTTTAAGCAGTGCTTCATGCCAAAGATGGGAGATAGCTTTCTATTTTTGTGTGTTATGTATTTATAAAAAGAATGTCTTTGATGCTTTGGCTGTGAAGGAGAGAAAGGGAGAGAAAAAAAAGACTACACAATGAAACAGATTGTATTTCATCTTGTTAGCCGGTTTCACTAACGATCTTGCTACCTCAGCTTTTATTTGCAGCCTCCATTAAAGGAAGACTTCGGTGGTGAATATATGAGCAGGAAGAGCTATTAAATATGGATGGAAGTTTCCCTTTAATATTCATCGCTCTTAAATTGGTACGATAAAGGCCCCCCTCTAGGTTCTCTTGGGAGAAACGGCGGATATTCCTTCACTCCCCCAGCTGAACAGACAAGAGAGGAGAAGGTAAAGATTCTGAGCAGGGGGATGGACTAGATGACCTCCAAGGCCCCTTCCAACTTTATTCTTCTTCTTGTGAGACGGCCTCTTTTTCTGCCACCACGATCCTCTTCAGCTTTTGCAGACTGTGGTTGGAGTCAACAGACCTCGGCTTGCCCTGCTCTTTCCGGTGGATTCCTTCACCACAAATAGTCTGAAAAAGACTCCTTAATTAGATCTCGGCTCTGAATCTGACAGATGCTTGTCCCAAAGGTGCTTTTTTTCAAGAGGCAACTGGACTTCCTTGTTTTTCTTTGAAGACCTTTCGCTTCTCATCCCAGAAGCTTCTTCAGCTCTGACTGTGCAGGTTGGGGGCAGCAGAAATTGTAGGCGAGGAGAAGTGAAGGTTGCCAAATTGAAAAAAAGTTTGAGTGAGGGAAAGAGGCTCTTTTAAAAATAAAAATTAATCCATGCTTTGCATTTATGGAATAAAACTCTCCACGCTGCCACCTCATTAGCCTCAAAAGTCTGCAAGCCTCTCTTCCCTTGACAGTCCTGCAGGCACCGTCAGCAATTAAAACGGGATGATACTTTGTTCTGCATGGAAAAAGCTCGCCAAGAATATCATGTAGGCTTCCCTAAAGGTTTTCTGTACCTGTGGGGTATATAATTATAGGCCCGAATGTGCAAAAGCGTAGAAAAATTCTCTCTCCACACCATCTTGTTAAAAATCCGAGTTTTAACAGGTTATTTTAAAAACAATAGGGCTTTTTTATTTCCAGAAAACAAATGGCAATGTGCTTAAAATCTGCTCCATCATTTTACGCCAAAAGGCAGATGATGTATGTTTATAATTCAAAATTCAGAGCTGGTCCCATTTGGGAGTGAGTTGAAAAACCTCTGGGCTGCTGCATGAATTTGCATTTCAGCAGGAAAATAATGGCATCCAGGATCCATGAGCAGAAATGAAAGAGGGGTATTTTTAAAAACGCAGCCCGCAGTGCATTAAGTCCACTGTCCTCAGCAGCCCGTTGTGACCCTGCGCGTTCTCCTAGGACCTAAGCCAACCAGCTGGAGGTAGATCTTAGAGGAACATATGGCTGGTAGCTTCTGATCCTTTCTATACAAGAGAATAAATAACGGCGCGGGTCTAAAAATAGCTGCCTTGACATCCAAAGACACAGCAGTTCCTAGGAGAGTGGCTGGTTTGCGGTGTGCTATAAATCCAAAGTAAAAACACAGTTGTTTATGAAATTGACTTTGAAACGTTCTATAATACAAGAAGGCAGGAAATGAGATTTCAGTCTGCATTGATTTAAGCAGCGTACGGGATCTGGCTGAGATGCATGATGCATCCTCCAGCGCAGGACCACCGAACAGACTTTCATTTAAACCAATGTTTAAATGACCCTATGCCATTTCAGACAAGTGGCTGTCCAGTCTCTTCTTAAAAACCTCCAGTGATGAAGTGATTTCAGCTCTGGGCCAAGTTTGAGAAACACCATAACAGAACAACGAAGGTGGAAGGGACCTTGGAGGTCTTCTAGTCCAACCCTTGCTCAGGCAGGACATCCATGTCAGACAGATGGCTGTCGAATCTTTGGTTGACTGATCCAAGCTAACCTATCATAAATAAGAATGGGGGTTTCATCTTGACAGTTTTGAACTTGTATTTGACCTTGGACAGCTGCTGTCTTGGTGAGTTTTTCGCCCCTTTATATTTGACCACTACACGTTTGGCCAACAATGGTGGATAGTTCTCACTTAAACTTTCATTGTCTGAGGTTAAAGTGGCTTCCCAGGTAAACAGTCCCCAACCTAAGTTGAATTGTCGTATAGCTTGATTCAGTTTGCAAGGATTTAGAAGTGTGTACGTGTGCGTGTGTCCATTGTCCATTGTGTGTTGATTGACTGGCAGCTGTGGAAGGCCGTGCCTTATTTTATCCACAGTCGTGATTGATTTGTCTCTGAAATAGCTGCTTCTAAATGGTGTTATTTGATTGCTGCCTTTGAAGGGACAGCAGATGCAAAATGGAAAGGAGTCACAGGTGATGGATCTGCCTCCCATTTTTATCTGCTGGAATTTCTGGCAATCCCTTGCTTTCCCACAGTCAGAGATAGAAGAAGATTTGATTCATCCGAAGTAATCAGAAACAGTGTTTGGTATCCTGCGACTGGATATGGATTTTTCTTTCATTTGCTGGCAGGTTGTTGACATTGCTGGAACCGTCATAAACAGACCCTGGTCCACGTCCTTCCCCTAATGATGAAAAAGGCATGTTTTGAGCTGCTGTTGCATAAATAAACAATGTGGATATTTTGCATGGATTCTTTCCTCTTTTTTCTTTCCTTTCCTTTTTGTAAGCAGGCCATCATGTTAGAACATCCCCTCTCCCTCCATTTATTAGAATAATATGCCGATTCTGTGCACTTCACAAATTTTAAAAAAACACACATAAAATTTCTCTGATAGCTTATGAGGTTTCCAGATGGGTCCTGCGTGCAGAGGCTGCCTGTGTTAATAAACTCTTTTGCTCAACCTGCCTCCGTTAATGAAGGTTAAAGCTGCACCAGCCTCCAGGCTACTTGAGCTTCCATTAATATTTAAGAGCGGTTTTTTTTTTATCCTGTCCACTTATCCTTATCTTGGGCATCAGCAGGACTTAGCTCATAAATCCAGGAGCACTGTTCAATTTTAGCTTCTTCCTTCACCCTTGAGGAGGAATCGATAGCCGGTTGTATATAACAACTGGAAAAAAAAAATTAGCCCGTTATGGAGCGTGGAAAGGGCAACTTTCTCCAAACTGTCCTCCAGGTGGGTGGACATCAGCTCCCAGAATTCCCCATCCTCACTGAGGGTGCTGGGATTGAAGTCCACCTGTCTTAGGAAAAGGCTGTGTGGATGCTGGAGGGAACTGTGGAACAAGGCAATCAGTGGCAATTTCTCAGCAAGGAACTTGGAAAGCTCTCCCGTTCTCCTGCTTTTGCTCTTGAAAATGGCTTGGGCTGAGCCCGGATGCCGGCCCATCACCCGGTCAGACATGGGTTCCTGGGGTCAACCAGCTTGTCCTCTACACAGGGATTGAGACCTCGGGCGTTGTCGTTCGCTGCCTCTGCAGGGCTGCAAGTTGGGGGATTCAGGTGCAATTCCAGGTGTTGTTTCCGCTTATCAGCGCACAAATCACCACCACAGTGTTTTTAGTGCTGTCCAGCCGGTAACCATGGAAACCATGGTCTTTCTCCTCTTTCTCCTCCTCTTTCTCCTCCTTTCTCCTCCCTTTCACAGATGACTCCGGCGACGAGGAATCCACCTCGCAGTCTGACAAGAGCGAAGTGCACAGCACGCTGAAGCACCTCTCCGGTAAACTGGACGACCTCAGCGCTTTCAACGACCTGATCGCCAAGCACGGGGCGGCTCTCCAGAGGTCCCTGAGTGAGCTGGAGAACCTCAAGTTGCCGGCCGAGAGCGGGGAGAAGATCAAGGCGGTCAACGAGCGAGCCACCCTCTTCAGGATCACCTCCAATGCTATGATAAATGTGAGCGAAGCCCCGGCGGCTGCTTATATTTTCGGGAGGGGTGTGTGTGTGTGTGTGTGCGTTTGTGCCACGGGAAGCATTCCCTCCCCGTTGCAGGTGGAGGACCCTTCCAAGGCAGGGAGGGGGTGGAAATAGAGAAGGGCAGGACAGGAGCAGCCAGGCAGGGCTGGTGCCTCCTCTTTCCCTTGATTTCAAGTTGTCTGTTTTGAGTTCACTCTTTATGTAACACCTGCTTTTGCAAAGTGTTGAAAAATAAATGCGCCCTCCGTAGAACACCGATTCGAGGGGGATTCCCCTCTCCCCGGAATAGCGTATAAACACAGAAATAATATATTGATTATGCTAGTCCTAAGCCCCCCCCCTGTTGGATTTAAAACCTAAATTAGGGGAAAGCATGAGCGCTGCTGGGCTGAGTAAGCGAGGAGGAAATAGAGAGGAGGTGGCAATATGGAAGTGGCAATCTGGCACAAGGGCGGTGTGGGAGGTGTATCCTAGTAGGGAAGAACCAGTGAAAAGGGTAAATGGGGGGGGCACAGAGGAGTCTAAGAAATGCCTTTGGGTGATTTATCAGAGAGACGGCGTCACCACCGTCCAGTCCAGTCCGGTGATGGGACTTACTGGCTAAACTGAGCAGCAGCAAAGGATCCTGCGGTGGCTGATGGACTCTGGTGTCCTGAGATGGGTTTCTTTGGCTGTTCCTTCCCCGCCAGCATCTCTTGGAACTCTGTTCCAGATTCTGCCTCATTTGAAAGCTTCTGGATTTTTTTTTTTTTCCAAACGGCAACTGGACTTCCTTTGATTTTGCTTGAAGATGTTTTTGGGTTTTTTTCTTCACCAAGAGGCTTCTTCAGTTCTGACTGAGGAATCCTGAATTCCCCACCGTTCAGTTAGAATTGAAGAAGCTCCTTGGATGAGAAGCGAAAAGTCTTCAAGGAAAAAGAAAGGGAGTCCAGTTGCCGTTGGGAAAAAAAATATCCAGATGAAGTATAGAAGTCTTAAGTGCCTTTCCTGTTGCTAAGTATCCGGAAGGTTCCACCTGGAAAGTCTGCTTCACCAACCATCCTGGACCCCTTTTCAGTGCCGGCTTCTCTTCTGTCCGCACGCAGCTCGTCCTCCCAGGGAGATGTCCGCCCTTCTCTGACCCCTTCCTGCCTCCCTTCCTCAGGCCTGCCGGGACTTCCTGGATCTTGCAGAGGCCCACAGCAGAAAGTGGCAGCGGGCCCTTCAGCACGAATGTGAGCAGCGCATCCGCCTGGAGGAGACCATCGAGCAGTTGGCCAAGCAGCACAACCACCTAGAACGGGCTTGTCGGGGAGCGCCCAGCCTCTCCGCGAACCCCACTGCGCACGCGTCCCGAGGTGAGTGGCCCAGAATAGAACAGAATAGAAAATATGGTATGGTATGGTGTATGGAATAGAGTAGAGTAGAGTAGAGTAGAATAGAATTTAGAACAGAACAGAACAACAGAACAGAACAGAACAGAATAGAACAGAATAGAATAGAATATAGAAGAGTAGTAGAATGGAGTAGAATAGAATAGAATAGAATAGAATAGAATAGAATAGAATAGAATAGAATAGAATAGAATACAGCTGGAAGGGACCTTGGAGGTCTTCTAGTCCAGCCCCCTGCAGCGATTTGCTTAATAACCAGCATTTGGCGATGATGCTGTTCAGTTCTTGTTTTGTGGCCCAGAAAGACCAAATGGTAAACATACACTTACGGCGGCTGAGATCCACCCTTTGGCAAGTGGGAAACCAATAGCCATCCAGCTTTCTCCCTTCCGTTTGGCACCTCAGGTGCCCAGATGTGGCAAGGGCTGAGGTCCGGGTTCTCCGTCTCTCCCAGCAGGAAGCGTGCAGAGTGGAAAAGGAGACGTCAGTGATGAAGATGAGGAGACGGAGTACTTTGATGCTATGGAAGACGCTCATGCTTTCATCACAGTAGCCGCCGAGCCACCAAAACATCACCGGTAGGTGGGAGCCCTTGTCCGTGGTCTGAGCCAGGGATTCTCAACCGTGGCCGCTTCAAAGATGGGAGCCCTTCAACTCCCAGAATTCCCCAGCCCATCCTGCATTCTCATCTGCATTCTGGAGATAAGAGAGGGACGGGAGAGTTTAGCCTAAAATGTATAAATAAAATAATGGAACTATTTTTTGTTTTGTTTTTTTAAAGGACCTACTGCCCACTTTATATCACTACCCATCTCCTGAACTCCTGATTCTTCCAAAGTCACGTTTTTTCTAACTCTTCCCGCTTATGCTCCCCTGGTTCCTTCCTCACCTGGTTCACACATCCCCACACACCCACACTGCAGGGAAGGTTGCCCACCTGCCCACTGGTTTCCTAGACCCAGAGCTTGGAGAAACTGGGCGGGGTCAGAATGTCAGGTGGTGCATTTGCATATTGGAACCCCACCCCTGTTTGTGATCTTCTCCGTGGCCCCGCTTGACGGGCCCTGCTGGGGCAGCCTGGCCAGGCTGGCCAGCGCATCGGGAGACCATGCCCCATCGCTTTTGGCATTGCCATTGTCACTTTTGTGTCCCCCATAGGCACACCAGCAGCAACATTAGTGTGGGCAGCGAGGGTCGTTCAGACGATTGGACCTTGAGCGGCAGTGTGAGTATCAGCCACCCCGAGGAGGAGCAGTCAGGAGTTTGGTTTCTGTCTCTACATGATAGTTTTGGCTGCAGCTTGACCACCTCCAGGCTGGGCTGCTGGGAGAAGCGGCCTCCTAGTTCTCGTTCTGGATTGTGTGATTGTGTGTGTTTGGGGCTGGGGAAGATAACATGCAGTTAATGTGTCTCAAGTCTATGGGAACCCCATTGCGTCCTCTGCGAAGTTTGCCTTGCTCTGCTTGCTTCTGAGTATGGTTGCCATGCTCCCCTTCCTTAGTTCACTGTTTGATTCTGTCGTTTAACCTTCTGTGTGTGGCTAGGTTCATGTATGTGAAGCCATGATGTGATTTGTTGGGTTTGCGCTTAGGGCTAGCTTGTTGAGTGAGGTCCAGTCTTTACCATTTCTCAATCTTGGTTTACAGTCTGGCATAAATCAGGCATTCCTTCAGCTATGGATTAACTCAAGTCCACCGTTAAATAAACCGACTTAACCTATTTGGACATTCTCAGTCGTCCAGGTTATTGTTGTCCCAAAGATGCTTTTTTTTCAAAAGGCAACTGGACTTTCTTTGTTTTCTCTTGAAGACATTTCCCTTCTCATCCAAGGAGCTTCTTCCATTCTGATCTGCAGAACGTCTTCAAAGAAAAACAAAGAAATTCCAGTTGCCTTTTAGGGGGGGGGGACACCTTTGGCAAAGCTGGCTTAACATGTCACGGGCTCTGCTTACAAGGGTGGGTGGGGAACTGGAAATCCCACCCTGAATTGTCCTTAACTTGGATTTGATCCCTTCCAGGTGTTTGAGGCCTCCACTCATACTGGCCTCGGTGCTTCAAGCAAGCATGGGGTCGCCCACAAGAAGAGGCGCACTGAAATTCCAGACAAGCCCAACTACAGCCTTAATCTCTGGAGCATAATGAAGAATTGCATCGGTAAAGAACTGTCCAAGATCCCTATGCCTGTAAGTGGTTTCCTCCACTTTTGATTTTCCCTTTAAATGAGGTTTAGAGTTTAGCCTTGGGTGTGAAACTCGCCAAACGTGTAACAGAAAGGCGTGCACTTCCCTTTCCAAACAGTCTTTTCTCCTCAATCACCCAGCAATAGGACTCCAGATCTCTTTTTTTCCCAAGAGTTCCGATATTGCAACCCATAAATAATCCCCATATCCAATATCTCCACTTGGCAGCCCAGTAAAACAGCAGCAGGGCAGCTGCCAAACCAAACTGTTAAATCTGCCAGTGCGAGGAGGCTCGTGGCAGCCGCCTGATTAAGGGAGCCACGCTGGGAAGCATCGGAAATTGTAATAGCCCTTTGACGTGACATTAAATCTTTCTGGTCCGCCCGGGAACTTTTTGTGCAGACGACAAAAGCTTCAGCGGTCGGCACACACGTCTCTTTTGTGCAAGCATATTTATTTTCAGGGCTTGTGCTTCCTCTGTCTCCCAAGTGACCTTGTTGGTCAGTCTAATTCAGCTGTGACCGGTTGCTCCACCTTTCATCCGCCGTCTGGTCTCTTTTATCCCCTGTACGGAGGGGTTTTGTAGTACAGGAGGTCCTCAACTTACCACCACAATGGAGCCTGACGTGTATGTTGCTAAGTGAGAAATTGGTCAAGCGAGTCTTCCTTGCCCCACTTCGCGAACTTTTCTCGCCACTTTTGTTCAACAAATCGCTGCCGTTGTTAAATTAGTCACTCAGTTGTTAAGTGAATCCGGTTCCCCCTTGTCAGAGGGGGTCACGTGACCCCGGAACACTGCAAAAACCGTCATAAATGTGAGTCATCTGTCAAGCATCCGAATCTAAATCACATGACCGCGGGGAGGCTGCAACGGTCCTAAGTATGAAAAACGGCCGCAAGTCACTTTTTTCAGTGCCGTTGTAACTTTGAACAGCCACGAAATGAACCGTTGTAAGCCGAGGACGAGCTGTATCAGGCGTATGACAATTTGCCACGGAAAACTGTGGCTGTGGCCGACTCTTTGCTGCGGGACGACAAGAGTTACATTAATATCGAAGAAACGGTGGAATAGAATCATTCAAGGAAGGATGCCAAAGGAGGGCCAGGATGAACTGTGAATGACAAAAATTAAAACATTCTTTTATCTGTTTTAAATAATTCAGCTGATTTGTTAAATTGTTCCGTGACAAGTGGGCCATGGTGAGTTGTCGCAATTCTGACCTGACCTGCTGCAGGATGAAAAGCAATGACCAGTCACCGTGTGGGGCTTCCTTAAGCTCAGCTGGAGGAGGGCAACGAAGTGGGGGAGTCCTCTTTGTTCCCAAGTGTCCTTGTGGAAGAGGAGTGGGATCCCCAGGCAGCTCTGTGAAGCCCTCCAGGGCTGCCACTCCCCCCTAACCCCCCTTCCCTGCTCCCCTCTCCCCTGCAGATCAACTTCAACGAGCCTCTCTCGATGCTACAGAGGCTGACCGAGGACCTGGAGTATCACGAACTGCTGGACCGAGCGGTCAGGTGCGAGAGCGCCATTGAGCAGATGTGCTTTGTGGCGGCCTTTTCCGTGTCTTCCTATTCAACCACTGTCCAGCGGACCGCCAAGCCCTTCAACCCGCTCCTGGGTGAGACCTTCGAACTGGACCGCCTGGACGAGCTTGGCTTCCGCTCGCTCTCTGAGCAGGTGAGCCAAAGAACCGGCGTGGGGAGGGGGAGGGCCAGGTGCTGTAGGGTTGGGTCCAGGCTGCCAGCTCAGAGGGGCTGGACTCCGCGGATGCCTGCAAAAAGAGCCTCCCTCCTCAGGCCTCCACATTTGTTCAGTGAGTTTTGCCCCATTTTACGATCCTCTCACCGGCAGTTCACCTCCCAGTGACCCTCAGCTGATGTAACCCCCCCATCACAAGACGCTCACTGATGACTCACACCTGAGCCGTCACAATATCCATCACAAGACCCTCCTTTGACACACCCACACCTGAAGCCCTTATAAACAGAAGAACGCCGAGACTGACATCCCCTCAACCCCCTCAACGTTCATAAACCAGCCCACAAGCTCGGAGAATGGACCTTCACCCTCATCCTACACCCAAGCTACAGATATTCGCCACTATTGCAATCTGGAATCCTTGTTAATCTTCCCCTCCGAGANAAGACCCTCCTTTGACACACCCACACCTGAAGCCCTTATAAACAGAAGAACGCCGAGACTGACATCCCCTCAACCCCCTCAACGTTCATAAACCAGCCCACAAGCTCGGAGAATGGACCTTCACCCTCATCCTACACCCAAGCTACAGATATTCGCCACTATTGCAATCTGGAATCCTTGTTAATCTTCCCCTCCGAGATGTCTCAATAAATCTTGCTAAAGAGCACTTTGAGGATCCTGCTTTGAGAATTGACTACAAGGTGTGTTTCTTCTCCTCCAGGTGAGTCATCACCCCCCAGCAGCAGCTCACCATGTGTACTCCAGGCGTGGCTGGACGCTGTGGCAGGAGATCACCATTGCCAGCAAGTTCCGTGGCAAATACCTTTCCATCTTGCCACTGGGTAAGTAAAAGGTGAAAGAAAAATGAATTATAACCGTTTTTCACAATGCCACCAGATCTCTCGGCCGTCTTGATAGTCAAGATGCTTTCCAGAGCAGGACGGAGTAGGTGCCGCTCGGTTCTCTGGGTGCCGCCCGGTTCTCTGGGACTGGGTAGTTTATGCCACAGTTTTATTTGTTCTTTCTCCTTTCTTTTTTTTATAATAATTTTTTCTTAAAGTTTAAAAACGCTAAGATTAAAAATAAAACTAACATAAACAAAGAAAAGGAAGAAAAAAGAAAAACTTTTCACCCCATGTCTCCTCCTTTATCAATTAACAAATAATGAAGCCTCGTCCTGCCATCCGAATCGGCAAAAATCCATTAAGAGTTACAGAGATAATCCTTTCTGTTTAGAGAGATTTATATTCTAACCGTAAGGTTACTTTTCTCCCGCAGGCACCATCCACCTCGAATTCCACTCCAGCGGCAATCACTATATCTGGCAAAAAGTGACATCCACAGTTCACAATATTATTGTGGGAAAACTCTGGATTGACCAGGTAAGGATGGACGGGCCTCATCCTGCACCATTGCTAAAATCACTCGGTGAATAAAGAGATACGTCAGTGATGTCAGTGATTTTTTTTTAATTTGAATTAAATAAGAAAGAAAGGAAACCGTTTTTCCTGATTTCTTAATTCTGGTTTCTGTCGGTATGGATAATTAACCCCTTGGGCAAATTCCCTTTCTTTTGTGTAGTCTGGTGACATAGAAATCCTCAACCACAAATCAAAAGACAAATGCCAGCTGAAATTCACACCCTACAGTTACTTCTCCAGAGACATCCCCCGGAAGGTAACTGTCAAGAATGAAACTTTGGCAGCCTATTTGTTTCTTCTTGCCATTGAGTTGGGGGAGGGCAGGGGGAGGGGGAAGTGTTGCTTTAAAAGTCTTTAGATGGAGAAATGAAAATTCGTCAAATCTGCTGACTACTGTGAAAGCCTGAGGTATTTCCAAGGACACTGAAGCAGGTGTGGAAGAAAAGCAGACGGTTCCAGTAACAAAGGGAAATTGTTTATAGGGACTATGTGAAAGGGCAGGAGCTGGATTTGGCTGTAAATACTTTGAGCCCAGATGTGGCTGTTGCAATAACAAATCAACTCGGCACAACTGG